TTTTAGAAGATGGACGACGATACACGTTACAATAAAGAAAAACACATGCACCAACTGCGATTTCATGCATAATAGCCATAGCTTCTCGAGATGTTGCAAGCAGAGAGTGTTGAATATCATGCCTTATTATGTTACTACTCCTTGCGATTTACGCGTGAAGTCATTTCTATACATTAAGAAATCCGGTATTGAAATTTCCTGATCAGAAACAGAGCTGTCAGTAAAACTTTCTTGCAGCGGTATAATCATAGGTTTCTCACTCAATACACATGATTTTAATTCCTCAATATACTTTGACAGACTTTGTATGTTATGGAAGCTGAAATGATCTGCTCTGTTAAACCAACCATATTTAAAGAGTTTTTCTTCTATCATTTCTTTTTCGAGTCTGCTATTGATTCAGAAACAGAGGATACATGCACCTAGTTGATCATATAATGACTGAATTGCTCAATTGCTTCGAGTATTTTCCATTTTTAATCGAAATCGATGCATGGCTGAAGTACCTTGTTTATCTTTTGAAGTACTTTGTTTATCTACTCATAATATTGCTGAGACTTACGTGACAGTGAAGCTGGAGACAATGAATGTTATCAGAGGTATTAAATTAATACGCATGGTAAAAAGTGTTAAGAATTCATTTCTTAGGGCAATGGACCGATGATACGTCGATGGGAATTTGCCTGGGTATTTCTTTAATTGTTAAACAAGATTATAACGCATACGATCAACTCGTTCGTTATAAATGGTGGTGGAAAGAGGGCTACATGTCTTCTACTGGTCGCTGCTTTGATATCGGCTCTGCAACAAATAAATCGTTAACTGAATTTATCCGCAGACAAAACCTGTTCATCGAAAAATATAATATACCGCCAGAAGATATTGATACACTGAGTGACGAACAAATACAACTGTTTAATAAAGAATGGCCAATGAACTGTAGTGAACCAGATGCGGCTGGTAATGGTGCACTAATGCGTTTGGCACCACTTCCGTTATTTTTCTGTCGATCGCCACAAGATGCAATATACAATGCTGGAAAAAGTGCATTATTGACACACGGAGATGTGCGTTCAGCAGATGCGTGCCGCTATTACGCTGCATTGATAGTGTCGGCTGCTTTAAACGCTACGAAAAAAGACCTATTAGAAGATGATTTCTATCAAAAATGTTGTAAAAAAGGGTGGTTTAGAGATAAACCATTGCATAAAGAAATCGAAGAAATAGCACAAGGTTCTTATAAAAAGCAAGGTGGTTATGACGATGGTATTCGCGGCAAAGGATATGTTGTTAAAGCGTTAGAAGCAGCATTATGGGCATTTTGGAGTGATGAGAATTCGTTTGAAATAGGCGCTTTACATGCCGTTAATCTGGGGGACGATACGGACACTACTGCCGCCATATATGGACAATTAGCGGGCGTTGTATATGGTATCGATAAAATTCCAGAAAAATGGATAAAAAAGTTGTACGCAAAAGATTTTTTGAACTGTCTTGCTGAATGGTTGAATTACGCAGGAAGCGAATGGTATGAACCTAAAATACAGAATTCAAAATTATGAACAATGACTATGAGCGTAAGAAGTTCTGACATAAATTTTATCAAAAAGCTGTACAAAATCTGTGATAAAGTGAAAAGCTTATACAAGGTACGTTACCCGTGTTTTCACCTTGCTTTCTTTATGATCCAGACGCTTTCTACTAAATACGATATTGATAATCGAAAAAATTTACTTGGAAAGTTTTCTACCTTTTCAGCATTCGTTATATAAATGTATTGATTTTAGGATATTTAACTCAAAACTTTCTTTCTACTTACGACAGAAAACATGGTAGTACATTACCAAGGTGGTATGCATCGTTAATAAATAAATAATTAAACCAATATCTTGTTTATTTACAGTGTTTTGCTCTCATACTTTGAATAATCGAAGAGAAATGAGAATGAACTCAAGTCTTTGGTCGTTGAGATATATTCGTTCATTACTACTGCAATACGTACCAGAGCCCGACACGAGTCGAATGATTGAACATTCGGTTCGGTTCGATTCGGCTGCTTGTCGAATCGAACCGAACCGAATTTGATTTTTGAAAGACCAATCAGCCGCTCAGTTGAAACACTTTAGTCAAGCTAGGATACAATGACATTGTATAAAATAACAAAAGCACTACGTAATGAAATTTTGTCCTTTTTTTCTTTTATACCACTCAGAAACATACAAGCGTGTTAGAAAGAGGAATATATAATATATTTTATCGAGTTATTAAGATATCTAATCAAATCCATTTTCAAAGATAGAATTTTTTGAGAGCACCAGAATGGGTGTCGCACATAACCGACATTCGCTTATTTTTTGATCATTAATGTTGAGATCTTTTCAATTCCTTGTAGCTCAGCTGCGGTTCAACGAGAATTTTATTTCATCTTTCGAAGTTCCAGCCACATAAATGATATGTTCTGTTCAAGTGTTCCACCTCAAGGCACTGTATTTTAAACAAACGTGTGGAAATAAAAGAGAAGAAAGTTTTATTTTTCATTGAACTGGCCCGAATCGAATCGAATCGAATCGAACTGATTCAGGAGTTGAAAATGTTGTCCCGAATCGAACCGAATCAGGAAATCCTGATTCGTTTCGGGCTCTGATACATACTGCATATACGGACTGAATATAACTGCAGTCAAAATACAAAAAATTAAGCGAGTTTTATGACAAATTGAATAACTAGTAATAAAAATAGATGAAATTAATTTGACACCTGGATACATTTTGTAAAATAGACAGTTTGAAATTTTTTTCTAAAAGAGTATGTTGGACAGCTGTTCAAATTACGGGTATTGACAAATTTGAAATGAAAAGCTATTATTCTTTTTATGCATTGACGGATAATCTCCAATGTCTTCTGGAAACTGCAAACCATTCGACTTCTTCATCAATCGAACTTTAGGCGTGATATATATGCCTAATAAACACATTAGAGAGGCTTATTACTAGATTTCTCAAGCTTTTAATGTCAATATGTCTGACCACAAGATTGAGCATGTTCGATAATTTATGTTTCACTCAGCGATGAACTCCCCATATCTCAAACATGTACTGTCTAAGGAGAATCATGAAATCAGATGCCACATCTAAATCACGGTTGATAGTGACTGCAGAAGATACTTAGAATTATTATCCAAGTAAGATGGAACAATGGCTTTCTATTTCAAGTTTTTGAATGGTAAAGTAATATTCTAAAATAGCAAATAAGGCAAGTGTGATTCTATTTTATGGTAAATTTCAATTTTTCATAAAGCTAGCTTCTATTTTTGAAGAACCTGTATCTGGAGAATCATTATTGATAAGCAACGTTTTTTATTTTAAAATGTAAAGATAGTTTATGCTTTAGCTGTATACGATCTCTATACTATGGATAAATTGTAAAAGCTGATGAACTGGGAGTGATGAGTTATCGCTTTCATAGCTAGTGTAGATTGCAACGATTCTACAATTTCAATAAATTTTCATAAGTCAAGAATCGAATCGTTTAACTTACTTCCGTTTTATTCTGACCTTCAGTTTTTTAACAAAACTATATCTTCATGTACGACTCAACGTGTCTCAAGCAATACCGCAATATCGGCAGTTAAATGCTGATGAAATCAGCCGTTACTCACGTTTGGTTCCATAGCAGCTTGGAGAATCGTAAAATACAAAATTAATTTACTTCTCGATGCAGTGAGATTTTGAGGATAAGTTTTTGCCAGATCAAAATAAGAATACGAGATCAAGTTTTTTTTCCATTCAGATTATAGCAGCAATTCAACCAATAAGCTGAGACTAGCAAATAAATCGCTCGTCAGTGAGTAGAGTGCCTGTATCAGTAGTTGACTTTCGTGGGATCTTATAGTATCCTAGAGTAAGATTTTGTAAGGACCTTGCAGGATCCTACGTAGAATTGTTTGCCCTGGGTTTATGTTACGTGAAGTAGTGAATTTCTTGAAATTTACGTCTTCCGTTGATTCTTATTTTAAGCTGTATCTCATTAAAATTTTAGATTTAATATTACGTAGTATACGATGGATAATAGTTTAGCAGAATGGCTAAATGGTCGTCACTTACCTCATACGTATACCTTGAAAAGACCGCCTAGTTTTCCTGCTGATCTTACTGTTTCACCTGATAAAATTATTGGTTCCTTGGCTGGTTTGGCTCTTGGAGATGCATTAGGTGCTCATGTTGAATTCCGACCACGTTCTTATATGTTAAAAAATCCTGTCAGCAAGCTCATTGGCGGGGGAACATGGGGGTTAAAACCTGGTCAATGGACAGATGATACATCCATGGCTTTATGTTTAGCTACCAGTCTTATTGTTAATCAAGATTTTAATCCATATGATCAGCTTGTCCGTTACAAATGGTGGTGGAAACATGGTTATATGTCATCTACTGGAACCTGTTTTGACATAGGTACAGCAACACAAGAATCACTTCAAGAATTTTATAAAAGACAAATGAGGCTCAAACAGCATTTGCAAACTGAGCATTCAATAGATATGCTTCCTAAAGAGAAAAGAGAAAAGTTTGACTGTTACTGTAGTCACTCCGGAGTGGCCGGCAATGGAGCCTTGATGAGGTTAGCACCTGTTCCTCTGTTTTTTTCTCGCTCCCCAGTTCATGCTGTAGAGTACGCCGGTATAAGTGCTCGTTTAACACACGGCGATGAGAAAGCGGTTGATGCCTGTCGATATTATGCCGCTCTGATCTGTGCAGCGGTTAATGGCTACAATAAAGATGAGTTATTACATGAAAAATTTTATCAAAGTCACTTTGATAAGGGTTGGTTTGGCACTAAACATTTGCATGAAGAAGTTTATCGAGTTGCTCGGGGTTCCTACAAAAAACATAACGGCTACGATGAAGGTATAAGAGGGAAAGGATACATCGTTAATGCATTAGAGGCCGCTCTATGGGCGTTTTGGGGTGACAATGACTCATTTAAGGATGGTGCATTGAGAGCCGTTAATTTAGGCGATGATACTGATACCACAGCAGCCATTTACGGTCAGTTAGCTGGAGCTGTCTACGGTATGAAAGGTTTGCCTGAGGAATGGTTGAATCAGTTGTATGCTAGAGATTTTATAATTTGTCTTGGCATGTGGATACACGTTAAAGGTTATCAGTGGATTGTGAGTCTTAATGCTAATTTGTGGGAAAGCCAGCTTGTGCAACCTGACAAACTACAACTTCATATCAATGGCAACGTACAACAGCCTGTCAGTAATCAACAACATATTCGTCATGCACCACTCCAAGCGCCGAATAACAAAGGGAATAGTGAAAAAAATTTGAATATAAAATTTAACCATCCAGCATCAAATAGATGTCGTCATGTCATTGGCTACAATGTACGTTCTCAACCAATGATTCAACCAACAAACAACAATCCCAATACAGTTAAAACTAAAAACACCTCACCCAAAGTGAGTTCAGGTTATGGTATGCCTAAACACGGACCGGAATTTGGACGACGAAAAAGTGGTATTACACCGAAGAACTAACAAATTGAGTTGGTTCAGCAATTCGTTTTTCACTCAACAAATGATTCTGGACATCAAGTTTTACATTTGCTGTTGAGCTATAATTATGAAAGCGAAGTTGTTTCAATTATGAAATCAAGTAATCAATTTTATGTTATATCAGACATTTTAATATCGATGGATACAATCTGATTAACATAACTTGTCTTTTATTTGGCAATGTACTTGGAAATATTCGGTTTTTATTGTCTATGGAAAGAGTTCTTGTTCTTTTTCTAATTTTACAAATTGCTTGTATAGAGAGGAATCGTATAAGCGTGGAAATCTTTCATGGTTCTAATACTTTCTATTGACCAGCAAATATCAGTGTTCGATTAGTTTCTGAAATTGGATTACATTTGCGGATTACATTATGTGATATTTTAATTGTTTTGTCCTAGTTTTATACTATAAGGTCATAGTTTATTTCCAATCAACGGTATCTCATTGATCTCTGACTAAAGTTTAGTTACCTGACTATATTCAGTTTGTTCAGGCAATAGAAGATATTGTATTGTTAATGGAGCTCTGTAAAATGACAACATCCTTCTTCTAGTACTATATCTGAAACATTTATGGTCATTATGAAGCTAAAATACGGATATTATTAGCATAAAAATTAAGAAAAATTAAAATCGGTAGAATGCTTCTTAGCTGACGATACCTAGTTGAATTTGAATATGAGTATGATTTCTATACTCACTTTTCGCGATTCTTCTCTTTTCTACGTGGTGGCAACTCTATTTACACGCCTTTGGTTTTTTCGTGCTTTCCTTGGTTACAAGATGTTTTCTTGGGCATAAAATAAACTTTCAAGTTTCGAGATGTACAATCAAGGGGGAAAAATCTCACGTCAAGTGTGTGCACTTATGACCGAAGTGTCACCTGAAGTGCCGAAGTGACACTCCAAGAGTGTGAGTCAATTTTAGAGCGAACGTAGTATTAGTTTATATTTTGTGCTTCTCAGACTATTTTTCTCTTCTCTGCCGAAAATCGCGATCGGAGCTTTGAACCTTGCTGTAAGATTAATTAGACTTTGGTTAAAAACCAACAGTCAGATATACCTACTATCGGCACCAAAATTCAATGTATTCGGTTGTTTTTCGAATAACTTCAAAATGATAAAAGATAGGGACTTGCGATTTTCAACCATCGGAAGAAGACGGTTTAACCTATGTTTTCATAAGCAAAACCTTTTCCGAAAGTATTCGAAAGCAGATGTTTGAAAAGCATTTCGGATCTTCGGAAGCTGAGATAGCAATCTATCTGTTTTTCCATAGACAGATAGTCCAAACTGTTCTCCTCAAAATGGGAACTAAGCGAACTCTTGAGTTTTGTGGTTCAGACGTGGCATCGGATTGGCTGAGAGTCCCAGACATTTCTTTAGGTGTAGTAATTTCGAAAATAATGGAAACATACGTAATCAACCACGCTGAATCTCGTGACTATATTTGTTTTTCAGAAAATCTGCAACAATCTAGTAAAAAAGGTGGAATAACTCATCTTTATCTATTTTCAAGTATAATTAAAAAATTCATAATCCAGTCAAGCTCAATCTAAATTATGTTCGAATATCAAGATGTACTCGATGTTACCTGCTCAGTACTATGCAGTTCAATGAAAGCTTTATAAATCAACAGATGACTTTTGAAAAGTTTTCTAGAAATCTTTCGAAGTACAAGAATGTTTTTTACTATTCGGAAGTAAAAAATCATCTTGAGCAGGTAAAATAGAGTACATCTTGATATTCTGGCATAATTCAGATTGGTCTTGACCCGATTATGATTTTTAATTATATTCGAAAGTAGGCAAAAATGAGTTATTCCACCTAACATAGGTTTGAAGAGTGATTAAAGTGAGACATTCTCCGGCTCTACACGATCTTTTGTTGCAAAGTTATGGAATTTACAAGAAAAGCCCTAAATTAATTTCTTCTTATTTCTGTAGCGTTGTTCCGACGATGGACATTTCGGGCTTTCCTTGTAAATTCCATAACTTTGCAACCAAAAGTCGCGTAGAGCTGGGAGGTGTCTCATTTTAATCAGAAATTTACGGGCTACACTCATGTCTTATTAAAAGAAAAGTTTTGGTTATTCTTTAGAGTTTCTGAAAAACTGGTTTTCCAGAAACCGGATCTTCAGAAGTCATGGGGACAAATCTGTTAGGGTATTTACTACCTCACTGAAGTCTGTCGATCCATGTACAAATCTTTGGAATCGGAACGGGACGTCTGAAAGGTTCTCTCGTAAGTGTTACTTTAAGTGATGAAGTGTCACTCAGAGTGAGAGACATTTCGAAGTGTGTGCACCAGAACTGGAGGTTATTTCTGCCTTGTGTACAGTACTGTAATATCATTAGTCGACATCTATAGATGAGCACTACACTATATTCTTTGCAAGCATTTTGAAGCTCTCCCCATGCAGGTAGAAAAGCTTATCAGCGCAGACCTTGGGCCTAAAGTGTAACTCTTCCATTCAAGCGTGAAGGACTAGGGTGAAACTGTATGAAATCCATGCGTCGAGTGTGTACGGTTACATTAATTGGCTTTAATTGGATTAAGATGTGTGCTTTACTTTTATCCGCTAATGATTTTTTTAAACGAAATAGACGATCCAATTATGCATTATGCATTCCCATACTCGACAATGTCATGAGTCATATAATTGAACGCCATCGAATAATATACATTTACTCACTCAAATTTGTCCGCGTTTGCTTGGGATGAATAAGAGTTTAAGATTTCCAGCATAATCTTCCTGTACAAACTTTCACTCCTTGTTCTTCCTCTTTCATCGGAGGAGTTATACAAAAGTCTATCTGGAGTGATTTTCTGTGTGTCGTAGCGAAAAGGCACTGTCGCGATGCGTTAGATTTAATCTTTTTGCGTTGTGAGGCAACAATGTAAAGAAAGTTGCATCTCAACGCAGAAAAGTGAGAGTTTGAAATTTTTTACCATAATTCGAAGAATTTAAACTTCTATTTCAGACAACGACCTTATCAACTACTTTTAAAACCGAGTGTTGTTTTACGACACATTAGAATCTTCTTGCCTTGGACATCAAAACCACGGTTCACGGGTTTGCAGAAATGGACTCGATTATGAACCGTCGTATGTGAATTGTTACATGTGATAATGTGGTAGTAGTTACAAGATGTAAACTCTTGGTTATCAATACAAATACACCGAGAATGTGATGTTGCTTTGCAATGAGGATTTTTTTTCCGCGAGTGCTCTTGGGTGTTGATATCCGCGAGAAGCAATGTCTTTCTTCTGATGTTATCGATATATGAATGCGGATTTGTGCGAAGTTTTACTTCTTTACTCTTGAAATTGTGAATGTTTGTCATCCGGCCTTTGAGTGGTGACCACAAAAAAAGAATCCTTCTAGCGACTGTCACCCACTTGAAAAAGCATGAAACCATCGGGCACTGTACGATATGATACACAAGCCTGGCCGTAAACATTAGGCAATCGTCATGGATTTGAGTAGCATTTGAACCTAATAACGAGTGAGTTTTTGTATAGTACACCTATAGTATTCACTGTTTATCCATCTAAAAATAATTAGCTAGTGAGTCATCTACCACAAGCACAACAATTACAATTAAAATCTATTTTATTGAAGCATTCGTCTATGGTTGATACATCGAAAACCACAACATATTCAACATCACATACCAGTAGGACCTCACCATCAACCAATTCAGCCATACCCTTATAGAAAACCAGCCAAAGAAACCCAAATTATAAAAGAACAAGTTAAAAAGATGTTGGAAAATCATATTATTCGTCCAAGTTCAAGCCCATGGTCATCGCCAGTTGTCATCATCAAGAAGAAAGATGGCACACGACGTTTTTGTGTTGATTACAGAAAATTTAATTTAATTACGGAACTTGATGTTTACCCATTACCACGAATCGATGACATAAGTGACAAACTGTCTGACTCCAAATATTTTTCAACATTAGTTTTATAAGCTGATTATTGGCAAATTCCAATAATTGAATGTGATAAGAAGAAAACGGCTTTTGTTACTGCCGAAGGCCGTTACGAATTTAATGTTTTACCATTTGGTTTATGCAATGCACCAGCAAATTTTTAACGCGTTATTAACTTCATATAAGGCACATTACGATGGGATATCACATTGATATATTTAGACGATATAACATTATATTCATCAACATTTCGATCAGCATGTACAACATATGGATTTGGTGTTAACAGCCTTAGAGAAAGCTAAATGTTAAATTAAACTCTGATAAATGTATATTAGCAAGAAAAGAATTGGATTGTTTGAGTTATAGCATTACACAAAATGGAATCAAACCAACCATCACCAATGTACGCAAAACATTAGAGTTCTCAACACCAACAACAACGAAAGCAACTAATTCATTCACTAAAATGGCACGATTTTATCGTCGATTTATTCAGGATTTTGCTACAATAGCAGCCCCATTAAATGCCTTTAAAAATAAGAATGCTAACTTCAATTGGGCAAAACAATGTCAAAATGCATTCAATATATTGAAACAATGATTATCACAAGATCCACTGTTGGCATTTGATGATGGTACGGTCAAAAAGAAAATTTCCATCATCATACTTTGGCATGTCGAACATTTTCTTAAATTTTTTGTGAAGAACAAATTCATACTTTCGGAGATAAGTTTCTGACGGATGGGGCTTAAAACCGACTTAATCGTTTGTTCCGCTAATGGTATCTGCTAGTGACAAGTTTCGTTGTTCGGCAAATAAATTTTCTTGTATAAAACATTAAACGAATGAATCGTAATATCATTTCAGTTAAGAGTATAAAAACGATAGTAACTGTCAGAAAATATCTATTCACAGGTAAGTGAGCAATATTTATTGTCTATCAATAGTCATTGTCCTGAACATTCTGAGCATTAGTAGTTATTTGTAGATTTTGTATTATACATCTCAGCTATAATATCAACTATACATATATATTTT